AATTTTACAGGCCAAACACTCACCTTTACTTGACACAGGAGTAAATTGAGTTTTTGTGTCGGCGCGCTTGTCTATGGAAATATAAAATAACAAATGTAACAGTCAAACTCAAACAAAACCAAAGAATACCAGGTAAAGAAAGGATTACCGTTACTACGTGACACATTGCGTGACTCAGGYTTTCAATTGTGTGACACAGGGTTTAGGAAAGGATATTTTACTTACCGCCGAATGCGCAACTGTTAAAAATCCATCTTTGACCTCRCAGTGTCGCTTTTGCCACATCTTTCGAAATCTTGGAGAGAAAAAGTGAAAAAATGACATACAAATCTGCCACCACGCGATAATAAACATTTCAGTCAGCGGTCACTACGTAGACAAGTATTCGCTTAAACTTTTAATATTATCAAATACCAACTTTTCAAGTGCAGTATGAGGTGGTCATTTTTTTAGTAAGTTACTTCTCCTACTTTTTTACGGTGTTTAATTTATCTTTTTACACAACTGTTTCTTTAGAAACACCGACGCAGCTCACACTAGTTTACCGCTAGTTCCCACCATTTTTTTAAACGGATAGTCGTCTATTTCGGAATGTAAACATTCATTGAATGGTTTTAAGAAGTGTATGCAAACTTGACAAAACGTTTCACRTACACCTACCCTTCACTTCGCTTCCATAGGTTCCCTGCTCTGTGTGTCCCATGTATCTTGTGCCCTTGCGTGCCATGTAAGCTGTAACCTCCCTTACCAGACTGCGCATCAAGCAAAACAAAATAATATCTTAAATGCCATTTCCCAATACATTCCCAGCCAACTCGTTTTTACCTCTTTTTCACTTTGCAACAAAGTCTTGAGATCATCTCTCATTGTTAACAGTTCACGTTTGTCTACGTCTTGCTTTGCTCGAAGCTGAGAAGAGAATTTCAACACAAATTTTTTCAACTTGCCTTATAAAACCGACACGCTTTGCAGTGCTTCATGTAGCAACCATTTTGGTCGAAGTCTACCATACTTGCAGTTAAAACGCTGTTAACACACTACTCTWATCAGCATTTGGCTTGCTACTTATTTTGAAGGAAGATAGGCAAAAAACAAGGTAGTATCGTCCACATTCATCTCAGCAGCCATTTCGTGTTTTTTTTAGATGAAGGAGACGCGCGCGAAGGAAGAAAAATGCAATTTGTTCTGAAGTAAACAATTACCTCATGAAGCTCGTGTACAAGTTCTTCTACATGGCCTTTCAGACCGTCTAGAACCTCGAGACTTTTCTGAAAGTAACTAAGAAGGCAAGAAAGAAAACGGTTACGATCTACAAACAAACAAAAAACGAAACGGACTGTGTCTACTGGCTATTGCTGCAGTTGTTGTTGTTTAAGGTTTTATTGGTGTTGTTGCTATAGCAACTGTTATGTTGTTGTTTTTGTTGATAATACTGCTGTAACTACCATAGCTTCTAAGGGTGTACGCTCCAGTTAACTGAATCCCCAGCCCTCTCCTTGAGGGGTTGTGGAGCCATAGCTTTAATTGACTATGCAGTGTTTGTGTTGCTTTTGTTGTAGGTAGTTAAGTTACCATAATTGCTGTCGTTGTTTTTATTGTAATGGCTGATGTTTGTGTTGGTATTAATGCTACTGACTTTACTGTTGTTTTTCTTGCTGTTGTTGTTGTTATTGCTTAAAGCAGTGCTGTTGTGATTGTCTTTTGTATTAGAGTGAGGTCAAAAACCCTTGAAAAAGATGTTATTTTAATTCCACTTAATCATCTGATTCTATCAAAATGTTTGTGTGGATATACCTACCTTATTTCTGCGTGGTAATAGTCAACCARATGTGTTGCCAGCTCGACACTTTTCTTGACTTTTATTTCACTCACTTTGATCAGATACTGCATAATATAAAAAAAACCTTGAGACATCAATCACGTAAAGTTTCTTTTACCCAACTTTACATACCTCACACATTTGTAATTGGAAGTGCCTGCGTTCTTTCTCAGTCTCCTCAGCCATCTACAAAATACAAGATTTTTATTTGAATTAGAAAAGAGAAGTATGAATCTGAGCAAATTCTCCTGCTTTTTCTTTTTCTTATTTTCTTTTATTGATAACAAAGAAATTTGTCATATAAAATCCTGTTTAGTAACAGGAAAAAGCCTATTTGAAACAGGAAAAAACTCGTTTSATTGAGCTGTGTTGATTGAGCTTATGAAGGTTTGAATAACGTTGAAAAACTATCTAGAGTACGTACACAAACTGCATCTTACTAAGGAAATGATTTATTACTGGTATCAACCGGTTGAGAACTGGTTTTCTCACCTCACTTCCTGTAACCTCTGCTCTGATCAAGCCAGCCTCTTGGGCAAGTTTCTTTTTTTCTTTCTCTATTTTTAAGCTGGAATTATAATGTAGACAAAATTATTCATAATGCATATCCTTCAATGGCAGTCATTATCCTATCACTTTTTTTATTAGTCTTTTGTTTTGAGAGGGTAGCACGTAATAGTCTCTAGA